TATACCATATTTGTAGGGTCTCACGAGTTTTATATCCGAGATATAGGGTGTTTTATCAATTTTGCCCAATTATTTGTAAGCACATAACTTACGAACAACTCAGTATATTCTTTCGTAATCTGGTACACAATTCCTTCCTCTTCTACCAAAGCGACTCACCTATCAGTCACGAAAAAAATCCAGGTCCGGATTAACAAAAGTTGATAATATTTCTGGACACCGAGAAGAACACCCTGTATTTTCGAATTCTCAAAATCCACCTACATATTTGGATAGTGCACAAAAAGCTGAACCGAATGGTATACTTGTCATTTTCCCGCATGCAATTTCACTAAGGAATTTCTGATTTTGAATTCGAGGTTTTATGCGTGAAAATAATATGTTTTGAGTTTTCACAATCGAATAACAACAATTATCACGAACCACCCAGTATATTCTTTTGGACTTTGGTACAGGAGTTCTCCTTATTCTACCCAAGCGCCTCACCAATCATCCACGAGAAAAATCCAGGTCCCGATTAACGAAAATTGATCATATTTCTGGACCCTAACAAGAACACCCTGTATTTTCGAATTCTCAAAATCCGCTTACATATTTGGAAAGTGCACAAAAAGCTGAACCAAATGGTGTACTTTTCATCTTTTCACATGCAATTTCACAAAGGACTTTCTGATTTCGAATTCGAGGTTTTGTGCATTTGGATAGGTAGAAATAATAAGTTTTGAGTTTTCCCAATCGAATAATATTATCACGAACCACCCAGTATATTTTTTTGGAATTCGGTACACGAGTTCTCCTTGATCTACCCAAGCCCCTCACCTATCATTCAAGAGAAAAATCCAGGTCCGAATTAACGAAAATTGATTATATTTCTGGACCCCAAAAAGAACACCCTGTATTTTCGAATTTCCATAATATGCTTACATATTTGAGAATTGCACAAAAAGCTGAATCGGATTTTCTACTTTTCATTTTCATACGAATTCTATTTCACTACTGAATTCCTGATTTTGAATTTGAGGTTCTATGTATTTGGATAGGTAGAAATCGAGGTAAAATGGAAAGTTTTGAGTTTTCAGAATCAGAAATTAATTAGTGAAAGAGCATGCGGGATATTGAAAAGTAAACAATTCGATTCATCTCTTTGTGAACTTTCCAAATATGGAATCGTATTTTGGAAATTTGTAAATACTAGGTGTTCTTTTTCGGGCCCAGAAGATCATAATTTTTCGTTAATCCGGACCTGGATTTTCATCGTGACTGATAGGCGAGTCGCTGGGGTAGAAG